TCATGCACAAGAAAAATGCTTAGAAATTGAAAACAACAGAAGTCAGCTGGAAGCAATACCAGACCTGCATCAAAATTACTATGGACGGAAGTTGAATTGGTAGTATGAATGTATTTTTCATTAAGTGACACTATTCCTTTCATCTTCTCTGAAAAGGCACCAAACAGTTATTTTGAAACTTCTTTATCTCCTATTTACTCACAACCATCCCTCTCCTTACCTGAACTTCTCTCCCTTTCCCATTTAATGCTCAGCCAAAGTCCCTTGACTCAGAACTTTCAAATTCTTGAGTAGTTTTTCGTATCTTTTTGCTGTGGACAGAAGCTCATACTCAACTCACCATTCCAGAAATGTCAATATAGGTTATGATTACACTTTATCAGTTTCAGGGACTTTTAATCTAGCTGCAACAATAGTAATTGAAACTAAACTGCCATAAACATGTTTCAGAGTCAATAACTTATTTAAACACATCCATTCAAAAATCCAAGAGCTTCTGCCTCTAGTTACTGAAAGACAGAGGAAGAGAAAACTGTATGGGCTACACTGTGTTCACACTTAGGAGGTTAATTTGAGAAGCAGAAAATTTAGAAGAGTAGTGAATTCAGGTTTTGGCAGAATTCAGCAGGAATATGTATGTTTTGCTCACAAAGCTACAGCTGTGAGTGGCAGTGAGCGGGTCCATGAGTTTGCATTAGAGGGAGAGAGAAAACCAAAAGGAATTGCATCAGTTTGTAGTAACTTCAGGTTTCAGTTTAAGGTCTACGGAACAGGTTGGGAGAAGAGGAAGGAAAATCCTATGAAAGATCTCTGGCAAAAGTTTTTGGTTTTTTATTTTGGCAGTTTTTCAAGAGTGATTATATTGCTGTGAGTCACTCACTCTTCCCACTGGTGTTGTGGATTGAGCTACAGGACAGCTGGGCTAAATACAAGGCTGTAGCTAATACATAGCTAGCTACAGGCTTATATTTAGCCCAGCTGTCAGCAAATGAAGCAGAACACCTTGGATGGTAGTTAGGTAGCCTACGTAAAATGCATGGCTCATCTCAGCCAAGTTTTAATTAGACAGCTCTCCTCATTACAGAACGAGTTTAGCAATTCACTCATAGGCAATTCCACTTGCAGCGTGAAGGATAAAATAGGCTGGAGTGTTAACCACTGTCTCCCTTCAAACAAGCATCCCGAGGGCAGGGTTCTGATGTGCTGAACAGGAAGACAAGTTATACTGATGATGTTTGGTCTATTCCTGCTCTGTGGCCCAAGGAGTTGGGTTTCTCTGTGTGTCAGTCTGGTTGACACCTGTGCTTTTTCATCCTCTGGCAGTTTTCATTTTTCTCTTTCACAAATGTCTAAATTTTTGGTTCCCTTGCTTTCCTTCAGCTAAAAGTTTGGTGATGATGGGCTGTTTGTCATTCCCAGGTTTTAGATTTCGTATCTACCCTAACAACTTGGTATTGATACTTTTGTAAAGAATTATTATTTTCACAGACTAGTAAATACTAAAAGACTTGTGGAAATTATATATTCAAAACTCCAAGCTGCTTCCATGGGCAGAGATCTAGCTCTCTGGCTTTTATCTATTATCAATACCAGTGAGAAGAGAAGTTTGGGTTCCACAAAACATCTTTTACCTGTGGGAACATGGTGCTTACTCAACAGGAGTGATATTTTGGGGTATTCTTGCTCTTTGAAGTGGTGAAAATAAATGATTCATTAGACAAAAACTTTTCAGCCATTTTGGACTTGCAGATTCCCCCTTCTGTAGTTCCAGTTTTTGTGTAAGTGCATATGGTGCTGCATATATACTGTGAATTTTAACCTGCTTCCAGTAAATTTCTCTTCCTGTTTTTATTTCCTGTCTTACGTGAATGCCTCAGAAGTTGTTCATGGATCTGTAAGCATCTCTGGGTCGTGGTTTGAAAACCACTAGATTAGTCAATCTGCAGCACCAATGCCTCTGTAAACCACCTGTTTGGTGTCCCAATTTACTCCATGTTTCATTTAGAAAACTAGTACCTTGTGAGCCTTGCAATTTGGTTATATGAGAGCGTCTGTTTTAAAAGTCTTTCCCTGAAGCATACTTACAGGCAGGATTTGTTGATTTAAACAGCTGTGTGGCTTACAAGTTTGTGAGGTTAAAAATGCAGTAGGAAACCACTGTAAACATTGTGTCACCAGCTGGGGAGGATCTGGAGACACTGCGTTGAATGGTCAAGAAGAAATTCACTTTAGATACAGCTTGGACAGCGTCCTAGAAAATGGGAGGGATTCAGTAGCTGAGGTTTACATTATAAGTTGTGTTGGATGTTTCTCCCAGTAAACATGAGCAGCCAGGCGTGTCAGCCTGCAGTGTTTCAGGGCACTGCACTCAAAAGTGACTTCTTCGTTTTGCCAGACATGGGCTCCTCCTGTTGGCATTAGGGACAAAAATGCAGCTATTTCAGCAGGAGCATGTTGGGGCCTTTCAAGAATATTTATGGATGTGCATGGCTACATGGTCTATGGCATAGAACTGATAAGCATAAAAGTCAATCTTTGCTTCCTCCTGTAAAGGCTAATGGTTTATGTGGAAAATTAAAGTTCACCAGCTGAGTCTCGGTTGCATTCAGCAGAATCAAGGCTACTTAGGAGAAAACACAAGTATTTACTGAAAGAAATATTAAAAGACTCGACTATGGAGGAGTAAGCATGACCAAGGATTTTTAAGCCCAGGTTGTCTTTAAGGAAAGAAGGTTTCCCAAACATATGACTGTAAAGAATGGAAGTTTATGACATAATTTCTACATCGTGCCTGAAAATTACTCTGAAAATGTCAATTTGAATGCAAAATAATAATTTGAAGAGAATACTGGGGATAAATTCTTATACTACAAGGAAGCAATTATTTTTTCCCCCTACCCATCCACTCTCTCCTTTTATTAGCTCCCTGCGCTGAGCCCGCTCAACTCAGTTCAACTGAAAATTACTCACTTTCTTGCGGATTAGTTTTCTGCTGTTCTAACATGTTGAATTGGCTCAGCAGAAGATGAGACAAACCTGCTCAAAGCACATGCTTTGGTTTAGGCCAGGAGTACAAGAAGGGAGAAACAGGGCAGGTCATTTCCCTTTTTGTGGCAGCAAGGCCCCAAGCAACTCAAGCCCTGTTGTACAGCATCATCCCCCTTTGTGCTCTTTCTTTATGACGTGATCTCAGACCCCATTCCAAAAAGCTGTGAGATTGTTTGACCATCTTTGTGAGAAATAACAGGAAGGGCACAGGAGGACTTCTATCCTTTGGTTATTTTGCCTGTATTCCTCAAACATATTTTGCCCTTAAGTCACATCTTTAGACCAAGCACAGGACCAGCGCTTGGCTGGGATGTGCGTGGACAGGTAGGGCCGATCACACATTTAGATGCTTGAGCAAAAAAGAACTGACATCAGCTGCAGGGCCAGGTCCTTGTCTTTTTGGGCTGTGAGTTCTACCTAGTTACATACTCAACAGTTCTCCTTTCTGCCTTATGTCTATTGTCTTTCGTCCTGCTCGTGCTATTGACGTCATGCTCTTGTATCTCTTTGTTCCTCACTTTTTAACCTCGCTTTCCATCTGTGACACTGTGGTCTTTAAAAAGGATTGTTTGTAGCCACTTTCATTAGCAGAAAGAAAAACAGAGGAAGACCAGGGAGGAGGAAGCCACAGAATAAATAACAGTTGAACTTCACCATGAGAACTTCTTTTGATTCACTGCAAAAATAAATAAATGCCTCTATATCAGACAGTAAGGAGAGGTGAACAAATCTGTTTTATTGTCTAGAATATTGTTTTTCTCATATTGTATCTTGCAGGAGCAATGACAGCATGTCTGAAAATGTCAAAAAGTTTTGGAGATACGTTTTTCCTTCCTTCTCCCTGTCCCAGACACTTCTATTCTAACTCTAAATATTCTCATCAACACACAAACATAATTATAGCTCCTGATGCATTCTCGTGGAATAGCACCTGGTGTCTGTTTTCAGTATTTCTGGATGTAACTAAATATGACAGTCTTCCCCAGTGAGTATTTAACAGAACTGGTATTTTAGCTGCTCAGACAGCTTTCATTTAAAACGAGTGAGACACAGCACAAGAGCAATACTCAGTAGCTATGGCATGTACAAACATCAGGTTAACCTGACTTCAGGACAAGTGCTAGTATCTTTCTCCTAAGAATAAGGAAAGCACTCCACCGGAGAACGCCCTGGCTGAGGCACCTGGGGCCATGGCTCCCTGTGCCTAAGCATTCCTTACATTTCCACTGCCACCTGCTCCTCTCCTCGGGTCACCCTTGGAATAAAGTGGCTCGGCTGTCCCCACGGCCGTGTCCACTGCTCACTAACGTATGGAGCAGGGCAATAACCATGTACAGATGCCAGCACAATGCGGTGGGGATGGGGATGGAAGGGACTCTCAGGGTGGCCGAGCAGCAGTTGCATGCAAAGCCACTGGCTCACTCCGAGTAAGCTGCTGCCACCTCGTCCTGCTGTGTGCCCTCGGTCGGGAGCAGCCACGGGGCTGGGTGAGGATGATCCAGCCTTGTGTTCCCGTGAGAGTCCCTCCTTGCAGCTGGCTCTGACGCTCGCTGTATCCTCCCTCCGCCAGCAGCCCGGCACACACCCGGTCCCGAAGTTAGCGCACCGGCATCACCCCGGAGGAGCCCCCATCCCGCTGCCGGGGCGTCGGGCGCAGGACAAGAAGCGACCCTCCGTCGCCGGTGACTGCGTTGCTAGCCCGGGCTCCAGCAGCCCAGTACAGCCCGGCCGAGCTCCCGGGCGTGCCGCGTGCCGCCGGCCGACCGCACTGGCCACATCCTTGCCACCGCCTGCGCGGGCACTACCGCCCGCCGCTTCCGGTCCACGGCCGGTCCCGGCCGGGTATAAGAGGAGGCGCCTGGCGGAGAAAGCAGGCGGCTCATGCTGGCGGGGAGGCGGCAGCGGGCCGTGGCATCTCCGCCCGCCGCCGCCATGAAGTCCGCTGCAGCCCCATGCGGCGGCGGGCAAGGTGGGAGCAGCGGGAGCGAGGGGCGGGCGGGTACCCGCTTCATCCCTCCTTTCCTCCTTGTCCTTTCCTCCTGCTCGGGGTGGCGCGGGGGGGTCTGCGTGTGGGGCAGCGCCCTGTCCCTGGTCTGACGGCGCTGCTGCGCCCCCGGCAGGGCCGGGGGCGGTACGGCGGCGGGGGCCTGGCGGAGCGTCTGGGCGAGGTTCGACGGTCGGTGGCTGGCCGAGTTCCATCGCCCCGCGCGGCCGGCGCTCCGCTTCCTTACTTACGGCGACCACCTGGAGCTGCGGCATGAAGCGGCGGAGCAGCGCCAGCGTCAGCGACGGCAGCGGCCTCAGCGACTCCGAGAGTGAGTGTCCGTCGGTCCGTCCGTGCCGGCTATGCCTGTCCCGGGGTTGGGGGGTGCTCGGGAAGCGACGCTCCAAAGCAAGTGTTAAACCAACACGTCGCCCTCCTTGAGAGGGGCAGGGATCTGGGAGCGAGAAACCCGTCTATTTCTTTAAAAACAATGCCTTTCGTTAACGTTTTGGGTAAGAAGTCGCAGGGATGAGAAGTCTGGCCCTGTTGGTTTTACTCTGCGGTGTTGAATGGAGGGTAGAGTGGCTGGAGGGGAGCCACATCAGGGCTGGCTGCAGGGCAGGTGAGCGAATAAAGTAAGTCACTCCACGGGAGAAGGTCGTGCTGCCAGCCGGCTGCGGGACACTGGGGTGTCCCGGCGTCTGGAGTAAAAGATACCTCTTAGGTTCGCAGGGACCGTGTATTGTTTCTCGGTAGCCAGAAGTATCTGTTGAAAGAGAGTGAACTAAAGTGTGCTTTTTACAACAGGTGGAAACACATCCAGATTTCTCGTTAGTTGGATCTATCCATCCAATTGGATGGAATAGCGTTATCACTGTTTCAGAGGTGCTAATTTTAAGCTACATTGTGCCCAAGTACAGTAGATGTATATCTGAATGGTGTGTGCAGAAAATGGAACAGGGCGGGTGTAGAGCTGCTTTGAGCGAGAAAATATAGAATTGGAACTAAATTGTTTCTAGTTAAATTGGAAAAACGTTCAACCCTTATTACTGTTTTTAATAATCAGGGAGAGAAAACATCTCTTCTGTTCCAGACAGTGAGTCTGGATGGAAGCTGCTGTTCTCTTTGGGAACAGTAGGTTACTTTGTCAGAAATAAGTTCTGCTAACAGTGAACAATAGCCAGGTTTTTTAGTTCCTAGGAAGCTTTATGAAACTTATCTATTTTGCAGCTATTTATAATAAACCTGCTCCTCTAATTTCTATTCTACCTCTATCAGTTCAGGGACTTAGAGTGCAGTTCTGTTGACTTAGTGCTAAAACACTAATCCTATCTTCCTAGTACTTAAGCTGTGAAAGCATAGCTTCTCCAGATTATCGGAGCCCTTTATTTCATCATCATGGATATGATTTATTTCACTGATGGGTAATGTTTTACTTGCCCTGAACATGGATGCCTTGCCTAGCAGTGCCTTTGGGTTTTTTCTGTAGTACAGGGATCAAGGTGCTGTTCTGCTTTTCATGCTGTAGTGGACGAATCACTCCTTGTTAGTATTTCTTTCCCTCCAAGGAAGATTTGGAAACGTGTGCCCAATTTATTCTGAACACTTGTGTCTTGGATGGCTGGGGGTATGTACGGTGAGATCTGAACTGAAGTTATGTGAGCTGTGTTCTAAGTCTGTTAATAACTTCAGCAGTACAGCCTCAGTGTTACTATTTCTTGTGCAGTCTTCCGTGTTGTTATATATTAACCTCTCGCATACACTTATTGTATCTCACAATTTAGACACTTAGAGTGAAATACTCCACTGTTTAGAACCACAAAAAAACCTTCAACCCAATATCAAGAACTTATTGCATGGATAAAACTATCTGCAGTTACTTAGCGTGTCTGCTATGGTTCAGAAAACTTCAACCTCAAAAAACTGTTTAAAATTGCTCTGTTAGAATTGACAAGAAAGATCTCTGGAGGAAAATGACGGTGTTCTCTGTCTGGGCAGAAAGCCTGGTGAGAAAACAGCATGCTTGTGTAAGTGGGCAGACGAGATCTTCAGGAAGTTCTGAAAAATAAAAGTCTGTGTCACAAATCTGCACTGATTTAGGCTGAAAAGATTAATGGGTTAGTAGGATAGACAGGATGTAATGGCTCTGTACAAAGTCCTCAAAGATCTTGTATGAGGAACTTGTCAAGTTTCTGAATTCCATCCTGTGTTTTAGTTCCTCCCTTGGTGATGCATCATGTAAAAGGTGGCTCTGGAGAAATCAAAATGACTGTCTTCTGGACACTGGCATATATGGGACCATGAGGGTACACCAGGAGCATATGAGGATATGTTTAAGGGAAGGGAAACAAAAAAACAACCAGCTCTCCCCATTCCTAAAGGCATCATTCAGTGCAAACAACTTCTGTTTTGAAGTTAGAGTAGTATTGGAGAGGAATTGCAGGTTTATGAAAAGTGCCTTTTATAAATTAGAGTCCAGTGTCTGATGTAATCCAGCTACACCTATTTTAAGAATAGATGCAGAGAGTTTCCTACTTACCCCGGCTTTTTCTGTTTTTCTGAATTCATGACCTTGCTCTTCCCGTGGTCATGCTTAGGTTAAACACCGCTGCAGGATCAAGGAGAAACTGAGCCAAAAGAGCAAGTTCTGATAGTATGAATATGTAGCAATGCAGAAGAAATTCTAACCATATTATCTGCAGATAGTTTGAATGATCTTTTTGTTTATGAAGACTTTTTGTCTTTGCAAAATCTTATCCAGTGCCAAGACTATTGCAAGTACACTTTGTCATGTGCGTATAGAACAGTTCAGACTATTGTGTTTTAGTACTCTCTGTTGTTTGTTGTTTAATCTAATCCTCCTAACTGATGTGGTGTGGCTGAAGGTTAGGTGTATGTATCTTTTGGCCACTCCTGCAGTGCTATCTTTTCAGTCAGGGATGGTACTGTAAGGGGAGGAAACACTTTAAACTGTTGCAACTGTTTGTTTCAGTGCCCCTGAATCAGCCTTAAATTCAACTTTATGAGAAGCTAGTAATAGATGTCAAGTGGTTGAACAATACTGCCCAGTAGGGTAAGGAAAACCTTCTCTCTCCTGGGGTTTCTGTCCCGAGGATGAGCCCATTTAATTTAACAGAAAAATTTACAAAAGATCTCTATCAATGTAGTTAATCCTTCAAATATTGCTTTTATCCTTAAAATCTCTTGAGAAGGTAGCTCCAAAAATACTAATTTAAATTCTTACATTACATATTTCAGGCTCTTAAGAAAAAGTATGATTTTGAAGACACTACTGTGGAAAATGGGTGTGATAGTACTTTGTTCTCCCGCATCTTGTCCTGTTATTTGACTAAATGATCTTTGGATGAGGTCTGGCTTGGCTGTGGTTAAATATTGTACGCACCAGAATGGACTCAAGACCTTACAGTATCAGAAAGGCTTGTGTGTGCAGATGTCCGTGATGATCTTGGCCTACAAGTATTACATTAACCACAACAGCTGATTGGGTCAGTGCTGGAAATCTTGATGCAACTGAGGAGTTACTCCAGCATTCTTGAGTTGCTGGACTGTGAGTACTGGCTATGTTTCAACTTGATGTATTCAAATGAATGGAAGTATAGCAGCTTTGTACTTTAGGTTATTAATCATGCTGGAACTTCTAAGTTGAGGAATACTTTATAACTCTTTGTTCTTTACAGCCTATGTTGATTGTGATAAAATGGGATTTGTGCTAGAGCGTGCTGTTCTGGCAAAAACCACTAGCATAGATGCAACTATATTGATGCACTCTTACAGATAGCATTTTCTTCTTATGTCAGAATAAGCTTGCGAAGAAGAGTGCTGGCTCGCCTGTCTAAATTGCATGTCAGTCAGTGCATTGTGCTAGCACAGTATGTGGCAATGTCAGGACAGTTTTCCAAATTTAGGCTTAGGATAATGAATGGAAAGTTGGACTTTATGAGAGGTTGAGAAGGGAAACACTTCGGTATTTCTTGTGCCAAAGTTACAATAACACTGAAAAGCTAAATCAGTCTGTTTTTGTGCTCTCAGAAATGTTTCACACTTGTAGCTCCGTGTTTTCTTGAGAAAGGTTCATCTTCCAGCCTCTCTGTTAAAAGCATTGAAAAATAAATGCATCAATTCAATTTTTGCACTCATACAGCCTGCAGTGTTCTTCATAGTTACTTTTAGAACTATGTAAATGTTTTCTAAGCCATACTCCCTGGCTTTTGAACACAACAAAGAAGTCCCGAGTGCATCTAGAGCTCTTAATTTTATAATTTAAAAATCAAGTAGGTGCAAGTTTATTAAGGGGTTGAACAGGATCTGTTAACACCCAGTGCCTGGTGTAGTGCAAGGATTTGTGATTACATGCCATGGATGTCTCCATCTGCTTGTACTAATGCCTATGCTATCTAGAGCTGAAGCACTCACCCTGAAAAGCCTGTTTACGTTGGCAATCTTGTAATATGTGGCTGTAAAGAAGGTTAAAAAAAAAAAGGCAACACAAATTAATGAAGACATAAAATAGTTTTCGAATGATTAAATAGACTGGGACACTCAGGCTAAAGAAGAGATGTCTTGGGTGGGGACAAACTAGTCTTCTGGAAAATCCTAAGTGACTGCTACCTCACCAGTACGAGGAAATCAAATTAAATTAACATGTTTCAAAAAAAAAAAAAAGGGTGTTATTTCTTTCATGGTGAACAGTTAAACTGTAAAATGTATTGCCTTAAGGTATGGATATTAAAAGTTCACATAATCAAAAATAACTAGATAGAATCACAGCAGGAGGGATGGGGCCATTGTGGTCTGCTTAGGCTGATGCTACTGCTGTCTCAGAAAAGATACTAATATGTGCTTTACAAGAATTTGGTAGAGCTTGTCTTGAAACTATCAGCATGTGACTGCACCACTCTTAAGCTCTTCTATAGGCATCTTATATGAGTTGCTGTGAAAGACAGTATGTAGAAGTAGATGGGGCTTTGGTCTTTGTAGCACATCCCAGTATAATGAAGAAGGAACCTTATGAGAAGGTAGATTGTGTCTGTGAACTTCCAATGGCCTGTCTCAAAAAAGAAGGCAGTATTTATAATGAAAAAAAATGAAGTGAGACTCCTATGGAGAAATAACGTTTTATTAAATGATCTGAGAAATTATTAAATTAAGAAACTATTGAATTACTGATATGTCCAAGGGAAAGAAAAATCAGAAGTTTCAGATGCATAGCCTTCTCTCCAGGTATTTCAGTATACTGAGAAATGTGCTTTCTTTTCTTACCACTCCAGCATATCTGTTGCTCTTACTCATTAGAAAGGAAGATTAGTAATGGGGAAGGTTGGAGTTGGAAACACGGCCTTGTAGATTGTAAGCGTGGTGGGGGATTGGAAAGGTAAGCTTTGTATATAATGAGAAAACATGTTTTGTGTATATCATGATCTGAATTTCTGGCTTCCTAGATCACTTTCTTGTAAGTATGTGATTTGAAATCTTTTAAGTAATGAAGCTTAGATGTGTCAATAGTGAAAAGGTGTTTTTATCAGTCTGGGACCAGATGTTCATTAGCTAGGCAAAAACCCCACAAAAAAATAAACAATGCAACCAGCTGTAACTGTGATTAGATAAAAACAAACACTATCCTTGAGGGCTGCAATGTATGTGTTGTAGAACAAGTTCTTTGTATCACGAATATTTCTTACTTCTACTGGTGGCATTACAGTTTCCTGATTTTCTCTTATTTTATTAGCCAGTAGGTTATGTTCTGACTAGGAATTAGTTTTGCAGTCTATTCATTAAATTCTGAACTATTGTTTTATAATAAATTCCTAGTTTGTAGACACTTGAGTGGAATTTTAAAGCTCCTCTCTGAAAGCTTTAGGGTCGTGCTTTATTTTTTGCCTCTAAAACTTTCCCACTGAAAGCTGCAGTAAAAGTTTTACTTCCAATGCTCTTTAAAATTATCTTGAACTATGGTACTAGAAAGAGCATAATATTAAAGAAGTTAGACAACTGAACTTTTCCAATGGAAATGAAAAGTTTGATGTTTTCCTCCTTCAGTTAATTACTGCCCAGAACCAATCAATTGCTCATTTCATGAGGACATTCTATATTTACATGGTGTTGCCCTGTTTGTTTTTCTTTTTTTGTGGTTTAACCGTATATTGGAACAGGAAAGGTCAATACTAACTACAGAGTACTCTGCTGAAGTAAAATACAGCCATATTTATTCCTACCCCCTAATTTTGTAGCTATTGGCTTAGTATGACTGATGTAAATGAACTCAGTAACTTAAGTCTCAGATTTTAAGGCCTTTAAAAAAAGAGACAATTTGAGTGTTTTTTAAAACAGTGGAAGGGGCATAGTTTATATATATGCACAGGGACTAGAATCAAAGTACAAAGTGAAAAATAAGTAGTGAATGATAAATTTGCAGTGGGAGAGAAGGAGCTGGATGAGGAAAGACAGCAGCAATGAGACCCTTGGCATTAGCCTCTGTTTACTGGGTTGCAGAGGATGCTGTATTTGTGTAGCAGTGGAACCCTTCCAAGGGCCATTATTGAAGGTGAATGAGCAAATCTTGGCCATGGCAGCTGGTAGAGGGCAAGGACTGAAGTGTCCTTTTCCCAGAGCTTTCAGCTTTTCAGCCACACTTTACCAAACCAGATATTTTTCTGCGATGGATATCCCAAGTATTTTTTTTAACAGTACATTGTTTTCAGCAGTTATAGTGACCTTGATGGTGGAGTCCATGCATTCCTCTTTGCACCACCAGAATTTTGGGTGCTTGGTCCTGTGTGTAAGCCACAGCCAGTAGCTCAAGTATGTTTTTGCTTTGAGAAAGTTTCAGGAAAATATTAATAGTCCATCAGAAGATAACACTGTTCTGTGAAAATATTTTACCTTTTGAAACTGGAAGAAAAACATTCAGATATTTAAAGCAACAGTTCTGTTTTGTTTTATCTTTGCCCAGTTGTAAATATTTCCCAGCACAATGTTTGTGGAAGCCAGTATGAAATAACATTTTCTAGTGTCCATACATTGCCAAGTGAGCAGTGAGTACTTTGAGCTACTTAGAGAAGGAACATGGAGAGAAAACCACAAAACGTGTCAGAGGTCACTGCTAGGTTGGATGTGTACATGGATATAAAGAAAGAATTGTGTGAATAGTTTGTGGCCAATTTTAATGGCTTACTAAGGCTTTTGCAATATGAGTTGCCCTCACAAACATTCACAGAAAGAAGTTTTTATTCCGGTTCTAGATAAGAGTGACTGTGGCTTTGGATTTTGTATGTGAGAAGGATTGGTTTGTAATATAAATCCCCAGCATCACTACATTTGGTGTCTGGATTCTAGTAGCATAAACTCCACATTAAAAGTATGCTCAGTTTTGTAGTCTTTATTCTCTGTATTATTTTTAATTAATTCAATGAGCTGTAAAACCTTTGAAATATGAAATAATTTGCAAGTTTTTGTTCTTTTTTTTTTCAAATACATAACCTGGAGGGTGTTTTATTTTTGGTCTGTTCTGTCAGTGTTTCAGTGAGTTACAGTCTTGGCTACAGCACTGTTTGTGTGAGGAACTATTACAAGTAACTTGGATTTTTGGTGATGGTGGGGGTTTTGTCCTGAACAGCTAGAATTTTTGATTCTGTGTTTCTTGGTCACTTGGGCTTGCATCTTGGCTGAAAAGAAGTGTGGTTTTAGTAGGAAATCTGTAAGCTGATTTCAGGAGGAAATACCTTTAATAGAGAGAAAGTAACACTTAGTGTACAGGGTTCATGCTGCGTAATAGTACAGGACTGGTGACACTCATCATTGCAGAGCAGTGTTAGATTTTTTTTTTATCCCTTAAGTTATTTTTTATGTTTTTAGGAGCCACTTTTAAAATGGCTTCCTTTTTCCTTTTTTTTTAACTAAAGTTATCTCAATTCTGCTGTATCGAGTCTTTCTTGAATCTGAAGTTTCAATTAGATTGGTTTGGATCTACTCAAATTTAGAGAGAACAGGCACTTCTTAAGAGTGAAGATAAAGAAACTGCAATTAAAAGATTGCATGAAGAAGCATACTTTTCTTTATAAACAAGAAATACCAACTGGTGGCTGATTTTGGTGGCAGTAGTCCCAGGCAACAGATGTCAGTCACATCATCGCTCATGTTTGCATGGTGCTGTGGGTAGCATGTGTGTTTGCCAGAACACGGTCAGAGCTGATTGCAGAGCAAACTGAAAGATACAGTACAATGGTGGACCAAAATGCACATGAAGGAGGAAAGTGTTCCAGGTTGAAGCTTTTCACAAAGGCATTTTCAGCATATGTTGTAACACAGGTAGGCTTGGAAGCCAGCACAGAAGAAACAAATCAGCTTGCGGCTGAGGAGAGATCTGACAGGCTTCGTGGGTGCAGTCGTCTGGTCTGATTTGCCACTGTAACTGTGTACTCCTGTGGAAGGTGGTCTTGTGCTGGTTGGAACAGCAGGCTAGAGGAGGTGGTGTGTGGACACACACTCTTCTTCCCAAAGATGGTGGAACTTGTAGTGAAGGAGTAGTCTGCAAGAGGATGGTCTTGATGTTTGATACCTGGAAACATCATGGCAATGTTCAGTGGAGATGTAGATGTTCAGATTTTGGCAAGGCAAGCTGTGGTCCTGCTCCCTTTTGCTATTTCAGCAAGACACCCTTAATTTAACTAAGGCAGTCATCTCCTGGTATAGGACAGGTATCCAAGGAAGTGTGACAGTTCTCCCTCGAATGGACTTAATGCTGCAGTGCGACCACCTTCTAGGCTCCATAGACAAATGCTGCATGTGCTGCAGGGAGGCAGAATTGCCTCAATGGTAAGCAGTGGTAGTTACCACCCCATGTAATAAGACATACATTTATGGCCTAGGAAATGTACCAAATAAATAGAGACCACTGACATGTTCACGTTACAGTGGTTTCTTTTTATACAACTACAGTTTTCAGACCACTGGCTTAAAACTACAGAACTAGCAGCTTTAGTGTCTCTAGCACAATGACAATTCCTCCTTCCAGTGTAACCATAACTAATACTTTGTGTGCACTGTACATCATGGAACTCGTTATATGAAAAAAGACAAGGTAAAGATACTTTTTGATACTTTTGAAACTTAAGGCCTTGTCTAAAATACAAGAACATCAAAATGATACTTGGAACTCTTCCTGTTGCTTTCCAGGGCATATAAAGCTTTCTTTGAAAGATGACCTAAAATAAGATTGCAGAATATCTTGTGTACTGATGTACTGCTTCATGAACTCCAGAGAGTCGCAGAATAAAAGAAAATTAAAAGAGGCTGTAGATCTAAAGTAGCAGAGTAATGTATGGAGAAATGGATGCATTTGCTTTGAGAATAAAGGACAACACTAAATATATTCTCCATTCTGGGAGGCTGTCCTTTTCCTGGAGCTCTCTATTCAGCTTTTTTATATAACTTTTGCAAAGTTCACGTAACAAAATTTCCCAGGATATTGTGAATTAGGCGGATCCTACCAGGTCTAATTTAGCTGATGTGGGATAATTCCTGTAATATTTTTCAAATGATGCTGACTTCAGGGAAAGCTAACACTTCCCATACTGCGGGTGAGGACAGAGCCTAGAACTGCTTGCTGTTTAACAGTAGGAGTGGGAACAACAGCCTTCAACAATACATAATTTATGTATTTATTCCTCTGATTTTGAAGTCTGTTGATTTGAGTTCAACAGACCGTATAGGAAAGGCCCCGCTTCTGATTTCAATTATGTTGCAAAATTGCAGAAGGCGTTAAATTTGCTTTATAATGTTACTTTTTTACAGGTGCAGATTCACTCTACAGAAATAGTTTCAGCCTCAGTGATGAAAAGCTCAACTCTCCAACTGCATCTACTCCAAGCTTGCCATCTCCATCTGTAACTCCATGTAAAGGTATGCTTATTTTTAACCACTGGCATTTTCTTCCTCAACTATATGGGCTTCTTTCTGTGAGCCAGGATTCATGCTTACACGGACTTTTTTTTTTAATGATAATAAAACTAAGGATTACTGTTAAACACATTTCAGATCCAGGTATTATTGTCTGGATTCTAAGTGGCAGTAGGTTGCTGTATCTGCACTTCTTTGCAGGTGACCTGGCAACTCTTTTTTGGTTTTGAAACACTGAGCTAAAGAAAATTACAGTTTTCTGTCTGATAAGGATTAATTGTAAAACTTACATAACAGTTTTATTATTAACTTGTGTTACTTCTTTACTGAAGCAACTAAGTAGCTTGTGTCCCACCTACTATAAAAACACTTAGACTGAATGCAGGGGTAGAGGGACTCCTCTGAAGCCCTATGCTGCTATTTAAGTTAACAAAATTGCCCAGATCCATATAGACCTTTGCACTGCTGATACAAGCCATGTGTTAGTAATTCCTTCCTCCTTTGAAGCTATGCTGTTTCAAAGTGGCTTCTGTCTTGCAGCTGATGTAACTTCCCATGACAGTCTTTCATTCAGGTTAACTTGAATTAACTCTAGAGCAGACATATCAATAAATGAACACATACATATGTACTACATGGTGCTTTCATTACAAATAATCTTCTCATATGAATGTTGAATAGCCTTTCACGCTTTCATGTCTTTTCCTCAGTGACCAGTCATGAAAAAACAAGTTAAATGTTTTATTTTCAATTAGCATCATACTAGAAAGAAATAATGAGTATTAGTTAATATGAAGTAGCAAAAGAATTCAGTTAAACTGAAAGGAAATACTTAGCAAGGAATTACACTAAAGGTCAAGAAGTTCTTCCTGTTGAGAAGACAGAAATAGAGTTGGAAACTGGCTTATAATAGACCACAAAAATGAAGATTAGAAAAATAAGGAAGCCAATTGCAGTAAAACTAGATTGAATGGAACCAGTGGTGTTATCAGGAGTGAAAACTTTGGATGTTTGGTTCCAAATTCATAGTGTATGGACTAAGATCAAAGGATCTGACAGCACAGCAAACCAGTGATACTGACATGATTTTGGGAGGCTGAGATTTGAGTTGGACTGGGAGGTAATTTGCTGGGGTTTTGTTCGTGCCATGCATACAGTATCTGAATAGATAAAATGAGGAAGATGCCCACAGTAGCAAGGGCATGGATTAGCTGATATATAGCTTTTTTTTTTCTTCACTTCAACCTCTGCTTTTCAAGGAAACTAAACAAAGGATTGCTTTGTGTTGCTTCTGTCCAATGGAAAACTATAAAAGCTAGAGTTTCAATTCAGTCTCCCCTGTTGTCTAAGTGTATTTGGACATTGCAGCAACCTTATTGAACTTGGCTGACAATAATCCACAGCATGTTAGATACCACTGAAAACGATTTGGAGGATTGTGTGGTTCCAGTGTTTCTTCTAGCCAGAGAAATATATCATGTCTAAGCAGTATTGGCTCTTCTTTTGCAGCAAAGCTTGGAGACACAAAAGAACTGGAGGACTTCATTGCTGATCTTGACAGAACACTAGCAAGTAAGTAGATTTTTATTAGTAAGTTGCATGTCAGTTGGTACTGTGAAAGAGTGATGAAAACCAATGGCCAAGGGAAAAATAAAAATAGTTTATATAGTGCAGTTTTATTTTAGTTTGCTAGTCCTATGGATCATTGTGTATAAGAAGGTGAAATAGCCTAAATTCAGATCTTTGCCTGAATGTTCAAGGCATGCAGTTCAAGGCAATGAACCCCTGTCTCCACCTCTGAGGCAGCTGCAATTCACCATTCCTTGTCAGTGTACAGATTAAGTAAACATCACTTTCCTAAATACTCAAAACTCAGCTAAAAAGTGGGGATTTATTCCTTCATTATAAAGCTAAGCAACATGAGGAATAACCATAGAAGTGGAAAACATTTTTATTCTGGACTTTGCTTTATGAAAGAATTGAGGAGCCAGATAACTGTATCTATTGACCTAAACTAAATGTCAAAATCCTGTTTGTACTTGTCTTTACCACAAATGGAATTTAGATCACATTTTCTCTCACTATCTAGAAATTGTATCTTCCAGTCACAGTAATGGATTCTTCATTATGATTTTTAAGGGGAAAAAAAAACCTAAAAGACTGGCCACCTATTGCCAGCCAGGTACTCTGCCTAGTCTTTTTGCTTCTTCCTCTGCTGTTGTAAACATAAAATATGTGTTTGTTTTGTGTTTTGGTATGTTTGTTTGTTTTGTGTGCAGCTAAGCCACAGAGCCCAAACTAATAAATTGTAGGACTAGACCTAAATAGCAGCATAAACAAAGCCCTCAAACTATGAACTGAGAGTTTCATATATTCATTAGGTATTTTCCCTTCCCTGTATTTCTTGAAGACCCAGACTTAATTCAAGACACCTGCCCTTATGAGCTTCCTACTTCCTTGCTATCTTACTTGTATCTTAATCCTGGTTTCACTTCTCTTACTTAAAATATATTTCTAGTTTCCTGTCTTCTGTCATGGATGTGTGCTTGAGGGAACTCCATCTTTCCCACTGAGTTTTAATTGACTGCTCTTCCAAAAAAAAAAAAATCTGAGTTTTTGAAGGTTTGTGTAGGACAATGAAACCCTAAACCAGTAAATATTTACATTGCTGTATCTTGCACAGCCACGTTGCAGCTAACTCTTAAGGGACTGCCTATAGTACATAGATTTCATTTTTTTCCCTTGCAAGGTGCATCAAAGATGAGGGCAGAAACTACCATCTGCTCTAGTGTTTTAGTGGCTTTTTTGGTGTGGTTTTTTCAATACCAACTAAACAAATCTCTAGGCATCTTAGCAGAGCCTCATTTGTACAGTGAGTAGGAGGTCCAACTTCTATCTGATATTTTATATCATCACATTTTTGAGGAGTTGTATTTATATGCTTGAGGTTACACAGAACTTTATACAGATACCTTTTCAAGCCTAAGGCATTTGTTAGAACAGTACTTGCCTTATATTTTTGCACACTAGCATTTCAGCTTTCATGTTAATTTAAACAAGACATAATTTGGCCTGTCAGGCAGTCTAGCAACCTGTGCGTAGATGGGTGTCTGGTGTGTCAACAGCATGCAATCTTATTCAATTTAGAATGTAATGATCTATCTTCTTTATTTTCAGGTATGTGAAATTAATTTTTGGCACTGTGCTTGCCTGTGGGTGTCCTCTGAAGGATAAGTGACATCGGTCCCTGAGAACTGCTGCCCTTGTCTGGTAACTTTGCTCCCCAAGATACTCACCTTCTGCACATAACCTTTGTAAACTCCTACAAGTATTTAATTGTGGCGATACCAGTTTTTTTATGTTGCAGCAGATGGAATAAGATAACTTAAATATTACAGCTCTATTTTGCTTTAAAATATAGTTTAAATTGTAATTTAAAGTTGCTTTTATGCAAATATATTTGTAATTTTATATAGTTGAGAACTTTAATGCTTTTTTCCATTGTAATATATTTTTATATCCAAATAAATTCTGAACTGGAATCTGGATGTCTGGAAGCTTCCTATGTACATGACAACTCTGAAACATAAGAACAAATTAAACTCTTATTGAAAACAACATGCTTTAAAATATCTCGATAAAGGTGTATTTCCTGTCTGGCAAAATTTGTTATGCTGGTTTTATGTGATTGCTTAAATAAGAGAATTTTGTACTATGTAAAATTAATGCAATTGGAAAAATAATAAAACTGGTCAAACTGTTACTTCAGATTTGCTTTAATACAAATCAATAACAGTGAGCTATTAAAGAGTTGGACAATAACACGTATTTTAACCTTTATGTAAAAGCTAGCTTTAAAATTGCAGACCATTTGACATGAAGGACTAGTTGGGAGGTCAGATATTTGGCCCATCAGTTTAAAGGTATGGAGGTCCTGTAGCACCAAGAAAATACTTAAGTGTCTGAGTGTTTCTGATACCAGACCTTTGGGTCCAGAACAGTCAAGCACTCTAAGAAGACTTCCTGGACATCAGTGTTATGCTGAAAGAGGAATGGTTAACCTGGATTTTCACAAGAACCTGATTCTTTCCATATGCATTAGGCACTGGAGGTGTCATTGTGACCTCTCATCCAGCTGCTGCAGGCTTTACACTTGGCTCTGCTGTCTGAGCTGTGCATATGGTTGCTTTCCAGTCCGCTCAGACCATGTGAGCTGGGCTTGTTTGAACTCCAGCTCTTATTTTGACCAAAGCAGTCTCATGACCAGCTTGAGTGCTTCAGTTATTGTGTCCCCTTGGTCTGTTATCTTTGCATGTGTCTGGACTGTGTATGTACCTGTGGCACAGCTCAAGGGACTTTAAAGGATAGATTTGGACCTGCCTCCTGCAAGTTGGAGAAAACCTACTGTGTATTTCCTAATAGGAATGCTGTAAGAATGGTGCAGATCCATCTCCCTGGTTTTCAGATTTCCTAAAAGTTGAGCAAAATACTTGGGTTTATTAAACACCATATGATTTTTTTTCTATTTTGTTCATTGGTAAGAGAGAAATTCTGAACTTGGTACATTTTAATCTGTCTGAAATAACCTTGATGTGGCTGTGTGGGTTTTTTCCTTCTTTCAGGCAGAAGGGCGATGTCAAGTGGAGGAGTGTGTGGTGGAGTGTGTTTTTGAAGACTAAAAACTCCTTTCAGCATTTCCTACTGCTGAAAAGATTCCATTGGTAAATTGTCCCTTAGGATAGAAGTGGAGTAAACTCATTTAGGAGGATAAAGTTTCATGTCTGCTGTAGGTTAACTTCAGATCTGTGAAGTAAGGTGGGATGATTCAGATTTGAGACAGTGATGTGCTTCTGCTTGCTCTGGGTCCTTCTCATAGGCTCCTGCGCTGCAGGAAACCCTTTATTAGCAGTGGAAATTCATTGCTACTCTACTGTAAACACACAGAAGCAAATATTCCTTTTTGCTGCCTCTGGAACTGAGAGGGGAGCCTGGCCCTCCTCCCCCATCCCAGATGTGAAGGGATGTGTTGCTGTGCAAAGCCAGCATGCAGGATTCCTCTGGCCGGCGTAGGACTTGCTGTTAAATGTAGACATGCTGTGCCTTTCAGCAGGAGCAGAGGGAAGGGGAACCAGGACAGCAGACACAAACTTGTGCTTTTCTTTTAAGAAACATCATTTGCATAAGGCATGTTTTTAAAGCTGCTTGAATAGCAACAGCAGTTTTGGCTGGTTTTCTACATTTTAATCCTTATTGTTAGCATGAACAGTGGAGTGGTGGTGAGTGGTGCACGATACCATCCTGAAGGCAGAGTACCCTGGCTTTGTGTGTGTTAAGTAAGCCATGAGTTTCAGAGGAGGCCACTTCAAGTGATCATGAGGTGAGGGGGAATGGACAGCTGTTTGCATCTCTGTTTGGATTATTTGAGGCATTGGGCATGAGTTTTCCACTTAATTTCTGCATGTTCAGATGTTGCTTGATCCTATTGAATACCCTGTGCCTGTAATCAATATTTAAAGTTGGATATCTCCCTTTATTGAGTGAAATCACCAAATTAGTACAGTACTTTGGAATGGCAGTACTTTGTCCTTACAGACACCCAATTTTGAAGATTTTTCCATTACAAGCAAAGGTTTAAAGCATGAGGCGTGTTCCTCATTTTGTCTAGCATCAGTTGGTGATGGAGTTGGGGATTAAGTCACCATCTGCTTGAGTTTTTTTAATCTTATTTGTGCATGAACAGGTGGGGACTTCTTGCTTATACAGCAGTTCTGGAGATCATCAACTGCAAAATCTGGGAGTGTCTTTTGTGGAGCTGTTTATCTGAATTCCCTCCAGTTTATGTTCAGTTTTGAACATCTTGCTGTGTCAGAAGGAAGGCACTAATGTAGATGTCATTTCACTGGAGTATGCGTATGACTTAAGTTCATCATCTGATTACATATGGCCCTGAGAAATGCATTGCTAGAAAAAGTTTCTGCAAGACTATCCCCAATGAACATTGCTGGAGATTGCATTGTCCTAATGGGCCTGGCTGACTTTTTAATCCTTGTTTTGACCTCAGTCTTGTGCTGTGATGCTGAGTTTGAATTCAGAAGAGAGTCTCAGCACTGTCGTGCCAACGCCACACACCCAGAAATGGAAACGAGCAGCTTAGACTAAGCAGATGTATTGCAACAGCTTAAGGTGTGTGGGGTGAGGTCCAACAATTATTTGCACGTATGCTTCTTACCTACTGCAAATTCCAGGTTAACTGGATTAGTTTAAGCCTCCATCACCGAGGCTTGAGTCAATGTATCTTATCTTGGGTTTGCTATTAACTGTGTGTGTCCTTGGTGCCATCACCCAGGCTCAGCTGATATGCAGTAACACATTATGCCTGGTAACCTTAATAAGAGAGAGAGACAAGACAAAAGAGGAATTTATGTTTTTTCCTTGGCTGCACATGCATCTGTAGCCACTACTGATGTACTGACAGACAACTGAGTTTTTGGAAGGGAGGAGAACTGTTTTGCATCGGCAGTGACAGAACTTGCTTATAGGGAAGGGCTCGACCCGTACTGGCTCCCACAGCCTGTTGTCCTGGTGACTCTTCCCCTTCTTTGTTACTGTTACACACTTTTCAGTAGACCCAGCATGAGTCTCCAGCAGAACTCTGGAGCTCGACTCAGGTGGACCCAGCTGACTATCCAGGTGGTATTTGCACCACACTGGAGCCCATCATATGTGAGACTTTGTTTATCTGGAGGTGCCTAAGTGTGTTAGACATGACATCTGCTAGACTGTTGGAAGGAAACTTCCAACGTTGTGGTATTTGGAAGCAAAGCCAATATGACTGCAGCAGCTCTTGAATTTAATCCAGCTTTGCATACTAACGGCATGAACTCCACATTCTCAATGGGAGAAAATTGTGTTTTCCATGTTACTTTCTACATTACTGACTTCGTTGCAGCCTGGCTAACAGCTCGGGCTGTCTAAATAACTTCACAAAAATGTAAGATGATCCTGGCTGTTATATCTCATCAGCTTAGACTTGTAAACCAGATCTTTTCAAGGTCCTCTTTTTTTCTTACAGATTCAAAGCTGTCAGTTAAATGCTGTAGATTGACCTATTAAAATAGGCTTGTCAATAAAAAGGGACCTGAGTGCTTTGGTTGCTTTTGCTCTTTCACATCTACGTTTTTTAAAACTAAAATGTTTATCAGTTCAGGTTTTTAAAAACTACAGATTGGAGGTCTGTGCCTCCATTCTCCCAAGGCATCAGTGCTCACTGGCTTCTCTAAGAGGCCTGAGGATGCTTAAATGTGCTTCAGCCTGGAAGTGAGTGTTGCCTTCTCCATAGCACGTAGCTGTAACACTGATTACCATCCTTTGGTTCTGTTCATATAATGTATTTCAGATGAGTACGTTTAATTAAAAACATTACCCTTGTCTCAAAATAACCAATTGCAGTATTTTGATACATATTCAGTCTTCCCAGTTCCAATGAAAAAAAAAATCCTGCTAGTGCATTAAGTCAGGTCAGGATCAATTTCACCTGATTTGGGCACTTACCTGAAGTTAGGATATTGCTTGGCTCCTTCAATAGCCATCACAGGAAGGAGAGGGAGGCTTCTTTGACTTGAAGATCTTCCCAGCTCTTGATAAATGTTCACCTTGAGAAATGCTGACCCATGTTGGTCTTTCTGAGTTGTGTCCCAAAGCTGACCTGCATAGCTGGCTGCTGCTAAAACATTCCTTCAGCTCCAGAAAAGACCATCTTTAGCTTCAGCTGGTCACCAGCATTGCTAGAAAAGGATGAGACCAGATAATTCTCTTTAAATTCCCAACACCCTCAATTTATTTCACTTCCACAGGGGTGCAGTTCACCTCACAAGAACAGTCACTTTTTAAGAAAAGACACAATTCTGGAAAAACTCATTGGTGGCTGCAATAATGCCACCTTCTCTCTCTTTTTTTTTTCTTTTTCCTGGGTGAAGTGTCAGATTATCTCTTTTCAACATGTGCGCTTAGCAGCACCTTTGAGTTCTGCCTCACCCTCAGGTGAAAAACCTTGCTAGAGTGCATTAAAATCACACTTCCCCACAGACCTTGGGGCAGATATCTGTGAAATGCTCATGCTCAGATGCTGCCATCCCTCAAGCCTGAAGATGAGAATCAAAGCGTTGACGGTTCAGAGTGTGATGGCCCTGAGCAGAGTGTGAGCATGTGAGGGTGGAGAAATATATTTTGTAAACACTCGTTGTACACAAAGACATTCACAAAAAACACCCAAAAAACTCCACAAGAACTCTGTGGCAGGGAAAACCCTACACAGATCATAAAATTTTCTCTCCAGATCATAAAATTCTCCAATTGTCACCTTACACATGCACCTAAAGAGAGCCAGATTTTACCCTTATTGGGCTCTTTGTTTCACTTAACCTTTAGAAAAAAAAAAAATTCCAGCATTATCAGCAGCTCAATTTTCATCTTTGGGAGGATTTTCTCCTACGCAGATTTCTACAATTAAGAGCACTGACACATAGTTTTTTGAATTTGGTAT